CGTTTGCCCACATGTGAGGCAGTAGGCAAATCCTCAAGATGGGGAGTACCTCTGTGTCACCCTTGTGGTAGGAGGACAGCCTTCCCTGGTAAGATCCCCAAACTCGGGTCCCCCTTTCCCGGGCTGCCCGCTAACAGCGCGGGACGCAGATCAACCTGCTTCCGAGTGGTGACCCGCGCCCCCTCGTGGAGCCCTCGGGTAACAACACCTTCCCGCTGGCTTCCTCTGGTTCCTGAATCCTGTTCGGATCAAAAGAGCCTTAATTCTAAGTCCTTGATCTTAAGGACAGTGGCACTGTTTGCTCTGGCGCTGAAGGGACGGCTCCCTGTGGGCTCCCGCCAGGTCTGATGATGAGGGCCAGCAATGACAGCTCATCGGCGCTCAGGCCTACCGCGCATGCGCTTTCGCCCTGTACCTGGCCGAAACCTGGGGTCCAGCCAGCCCCGGACCTCAGACCCGGCCTCGAACCACAGACCTTGCCTTCTCACAGTTTTGGAGGTGGATATGCAAGGCCAGGTTGGCTTTGGACCTTGCAGACACCCTCACGTGGTGGCGAGGCCGGGCTCTCTGTGGCTCCTTTCCTTACAAGGGCATCTCTCAGTTGGATTAGTCCCCATCCTTATGCCCTCATTAAACTTCAATTGCCTCCTAAAAGTCCCATTTCCAAATACTGTCTCAGTTGGCATCAGGCCTCCAACCTATGAATTTGCAGGTGTGGGACACATCAGACCTCAGCGTCCACCCCAACTTAACTCCACCTTGGAGTGACTACAGCACCTGACACACCAGCCCTGGCCACACTGTGGTACACACGCACCTGATGTTCCCACTTCTTGTGCCTCATGCTCGCCACATTGGAATAGTGTGGCCTGTGTTGGCAAGGCCAGGGAACACAGAAGGAGCCTGTTGTCCCCATCCCCAATATGGGTGGTTTGACAGAGTTGGCCTCGAGAGATCGCTGCCTACTGTACTGATGGTCCTGGACTCAGGGTGGCTCATCCTCTGTGACCGTGCGAAGCAACATGGCTCCCATAGAATCCACACTTTGAACTTGGAGTTTTGGTCCTTTCCTGGGTAGCAATGCCTGTCCCGTACTCTCGGGTCATGCTGGGCAGCAACAGTGAGCTGCAGCTCCCGGGCAGCCTGGCGATCGTGAGCGGAAGCCAAAGGACACTTCTTAGGGCATAACCCATCCCAAGGTGAAGATACTTGGGTTCCCGTCTTCTGAAGAGGGTGGTGGTGTCTCTGGGATCTCAACCCTGTTTCCTCTCTCCTATGGCCCTCGGGGCTTCCCTTCTGATGCTAGATGCATGTTGGAGCCCCCTGCCCCACGCTGCCCCACTCCATCGAATTATCCAATTCTTGGGACACCAACTGGGTGTGCCACCATTTAACTCAACCCTGACACCAGCTGCCTGGAGTTAGCATCAGATCCAACAGCCTGAGGGCTCAGGACTACAGTACTGCCCACGTTGGCAAGGTCCATTGTCGCTTGTGCTTCTGACCCACTGCCCATGTACTGGAGGTTCCCAGGACCCCCTCCTCATGTTTGAGAATCAGCCAGGGCAGCTCAGTCACTCTTACCCTTTACTATAAAGGAGCCACCCTGAGCCCAGGACCATGGGTACAGGGAGCGACTCTCACAAGGCCAATCCTGTCAAGCCACCCCACTGGGGATGGGGACAACACACCCCTTCACTTCTCCTTCTTTTCTCTGAAGAGTCAGCAAAGAAATTCACCGGGCGAGGTATTGGGGGGTGGGCAGGCAGGATGGGTAACTTCCAACCCCGTGAGGTGACTCACTTCCAGAGCCACCACATGGTCATCCACCTGAAGCTCTCCAAACTGGTCCTCAGCAGTGGTACCGGGGGCTTGGTGACATGGGCGTGCACAGTGGTTTAAATCCTTGGCCCTTGGTGATCAGCTCCACCCTCGGCCCCTCCCTTCCCTAGGAAACGAAAGTGCCAACCAATCACACGGTTGGTGATTAGAGGGCAACCAGCCCTCATCATGGGGTTACCCACCAGCCCCTGGGGGGCCAGTCACTTTAGCGATTCCAAGGGTTTTAGGAACTCTATTTCTTATTTTTTTTTTATTTATTTATTTTGAGACAGTGTCTTGCTAAGTTGCTTAGGGCCTCCATAAGTTGCTGATGCTGGCCTCAAACTTGTGATCCTCCTGCCTCAATCTCCTGAGCCCCTGGGCTTCCGGGCGTGTACCACCATCCTGGCTCTTTTTCTTCTTATTGAACACAATACCACAATCTCCGTGCAAGAAATGAAGCTGCCCTCTTCCTCCCAGGAAGCCCTAAGAAGAGCTGCTTCATGCGGCTGTCCGCATCCTCCACCTAGAGGGTGAAGACCCCCGCTCAGTCGTGCACGAGGGCCACAACTGTCACTTTTGACCCCTCCCCACTCTCCCTGCCCCAATCAACCTGCCTCTTGAGTTTGGCTCTGACATTTTGGAGGCACTGTCTTAATGGTTCCCTTAAGACACCCTTGATGCAGGCCCTGGGGCTCTATGGGGGCATTAAATGCTCTTCTATTAGCCCTACTATGTGCTGGGCTCAGAACCAGTGTGTTGTGGGGTGCATGGAATCTAGCTGGGCACCCCCAGCAGCCCAGCCTTCCTTGTAGCTGGGGTCAGCAGGGCCAGCTAGGGCAGCCTTACCGCCCATGAGGCCCAGCTCCCTGAGGCCACAGAAGTCAGGCTGTGCTCTGGTGGTGACAGGCCGGGCTCTTTCTCATGGTGCAGATGGCTCTCAGGCTGGAGGGAGCTGATCTGCCCCTTAGAAACCCAGAAAGACAGGGACAGGTGGAGAATGCTCCTTTGCCCTCAGATGTGGATGGTGGGCTAGGGGACCTGGGGTCTTGGGCCAGCTCTGTGGTCAGCCTCTGTGGCTGGCATGGTCTTTGCAGGATCTATCCACAGTGCTGGGGCTGGACTGAGAGCTGAGGTTGGCAGAGCCAGGGGTGAGTGTGCCGGGCACTGGGGGTGGGTAGAAAAGGACAAAACATCCAAAAGCCCTCCCCTGCCCTTGAACTCTGGCTTTCCTGGGAGGGCAAGGTGCACACGGGGCAGTCCTGGTGCAGAGGCACTCTGGTGATGATTTGGGGTTTTTCACATAGACTTGTGAGCCAGGGCCTGTGTGTTCCCAGGAAGGGGGACCCTGGTCCAGCGATGCTCAGTGGTGAGGGCCTGGGCAGGACCTAGGAGGTTGTAAGGAGTATCTGGGAGGCAAGTTCAGGGGAAACAGACTGGATTACCAGGCAGGAGGCTCATGGTGTGTGCTCTCAGGAGCAAGGGCTGTGGGAGAGAGAGGGCAGAGAAGCGGGGCTGGGAGATGGTTCCTGAGTGGACTCAGGAGCTCTGGAGACAAGGGGAGCTGTTTTTCTTTTCTTTTTTTCTTGGTACTGCAGATTTGACAACCCAGGGGTGCTTAACCATTGAGCCACATCCCCAGACTTTTTTAATCTATATTTTATTTAGAGACAGGGTCTCTCTGAGTTGTTTGGGGCCTCGCTAAGTTGCTGAGGCTGGCTTTGAACTCACGATCCTCCTGCCCCAGCCTCCCCAGCTGCTGGGATTACTGGTGTGCTCCACCATGCCTGGCTGGGAGCTGGTTTTTCTATCTTCACTCTGGTCAGTAGTTGGAGGAAGGCGTTTCCTGGAGGCTCGTGACCCTGGGTAAGGCAGCCCCAGAGGCCAGCACCCAACACAGACACATCCGTCAGGGGCACTGATTGTCATAGGTGTGGAGACTTCAAAACCACACATTTTGTTTATTAGTTTCTTTTGTGGTGCTGGGGAGTTGAACCCGGGGCCTAAGACCACATGATTAACTGACAACCCAGAGCTCGGGGACGGTGGGAAGACGGTGTGACTGGGGTGGGGGTGGGGGCATTCCTAAATTGTGCTGTGATTCTAGGCCAGAGATTTCCCCCTCTTTTGGACTAGTGGGTGAGATGAGGAACAAAAGGTGGAGAGACACTGGGTCTGGCGTTGAGGAAGGCTGGAGCCAAGGGCTGACGGGGCTGCTGCTTAGATGTGAAATGTGAAAGGTTTCTCATGCCTGCAATGAGGGTATCTGAGGTGGGTCTCAGTAGTGTTGGTGACAGTAATGGGGAGAGCTGGAGGATGAGGGAGTAGGGATGGCGCTGGGGGGCGCTGGGGTATGGCAGCCAAGGCAGGGCAGAGGTGGGTGGAGGGCCAGAGATGCCCCAGCTGGCTCCATCCCAGGGAAATGCAGCCCCAGGCTCCGGAGCACAGTACAATGCATGGTCTTGGGTCAGTGGGACTCAGACAGGCAGGCAGAGCCAAGGAGTTGGTTGAGGGGCCAGGACAGTGCTGAGTGGCCCTCTAGGGAATGCAGACTCTAGCTGTGGGTGCAGAAACCAGCGCGCTTCCTGGACGCCCCTGGCAGGTGAGTTAGAATGAAAGGCATCTAGGTGGGGCCTGGACTTGCCCCAGGTATTTAGTCAGTGACTCTGATCACACACATGCCCCCATGGGAGACAATCCCATCCTGCACCTGTGCACAGAGATGAGCCCCACACAGTGCATCCAGGGTCCGCTCAGTCAGTGAAAATTCCTGGTAGCTGAATTTCAGCATGGAGTGGTCCAGCATCTCCATGGAAACATCATGCACACACACCCTCTCACCCCTGAGCTGCTAGGAAGTGATGGGCAGGTGCTGTGTCATGAATCAGGCCTGGATGGAGGCATAGGCAGCATCAGAAATGACTGGCAGAGGGACAGAGAGGTGGGGGGGCAGGGAACAAGGGGAGGGTCATCAGACTGGGTGCCAATCAAGCAGCTCAGCTTGGGAGAAGGAGAAATCCGCTGATGCTCCCGCCTCCCACCGGTTGAGTAAGGGGATGACTGGGAGGTCAAGACTTAAACCCCCTAAGGAGCGGTTTTGGTGAAAATTTTCAGTGGACCCAAGAAAAGACAACTGGGGCCAGCTGCCCGCAGGAGGAACACAACCAACTTCATCCATATTAACTGAACAAAAGGTCTTTATTTGCACATGGCCACTAGGCACATAGTGAGCAGTGACCATCCCAGAAAGCTGCCTGCCAACAAAGTGAGAGATCTGTGGTGGCTTTTCCAGACACCAGGGCAATGACAAAGTGACCAGGAGACAGAGATGGGGTTTTCACCTCTGTAGCTCCTGAAGACCACGCCCACCCAGGTGGAAAGACTGACACAGGACGTCAAGCCCCAGACCCGTCAGGACAAGATCCGTTCACAGAATAATTTATTCGTTTCAAAGCGACAGTGGGCAGTTACTGGGCTGTGCGGACATCCTGCCTGGATCGGGGAGGAGGGCAGCCCCTCCGGGGGAGAAACACCACTGGAGCACAGCTCCCTTTAGAAAAGCATTTGCTCTGAAGCCATCTGCTTTAAAGCACCTTGGTTTGACCTTTCCGTGTGCACAGGGCCAGCTTTCCTTGGAACACGGCCCAGGAATTCGAGGGCCTTCCAGGTTGCGTATCTGGGGGTGCTGCAGGCCCCGCCCCTCCCAGGGGGCCTCTCAAGGGTGAGGGCGTCTGTGTTCATTGTCCAGAAGGGCTGGGTTCAAGGTCAGATCATTCCAAAGACAGTTACTTTCCCAGGAAAAAGGAAACAGCTTTCTCATGTTCCTCAGAGAGGGACGGCGTCCAGACACATGCCAAAGTGGGCCTCCTCGCCCCGAAGGGGACACAGCGTGATGATTCCACATTGGCTTCCGGGGAACTTGTGTCTCGTCCAGATGGCGAAGCTGAATCCTGCGCTGGGGGCCGGTGCCCTAGTGGTAATAGATGCTGAAGGCGTGGAGGATGTACAGCAGCGTGGTGATGAAGGCAAAGAACTGGAGAGGGCCAGGACCAGGCCGTTAGAGGGCTGGTGCCAGCGCCCCCTCCAGCCCCACGGGCCCTGCAGCCCAGGAGGCCCCAAGCCCAGACCCTCCTCAGTGACCCCCCCCACCCGGGAGCAGCCACCCCAGCCAGCTAGCTGGATCCTGGAGACTCTCCGTCCCTGGGCCTCCCTAGGGCCACACTCTCCTGGTGTCCTGCTCTGAGTGTCTCCATCTCCACCCTCAGGAGGGTCCTCGCCACCTGGCCATCCAGCTGGCTCTCCTCCCGCTCAACTGTGGCCCTGGGCACTGTCTCCTTGCCCCCTGCAGCCCTGCACCTGTGGGCCCTGGTGGCCTCCGCATTCACACTCGCTGGCCCACAACTGCTCTGAATGCCTCGGTGCCCCAGCTCTTAATGGCCCAGCCTGAACTGCTGGCATTTCCTCACAAGCCCCACAAGCTCAGTCGGCCCCCGAATCTCACCTGGTATGGTGACCTGTGCCATGAACCTGCGACCCTCCAAATCCCTGGCCACCACCACGGCCAAAGCCAGGGCAGAGTCTGCAGGTCTCCCTGCCTGGCTGGCTCTTGGCACCGGCTCCTGTCTCAGCCGCGTCATCCCTCTCGAGGATTCCCCATGCCTCTACTTGACTCCTGTTACTCTGCTCCCAGATAATCCCCCACAACAGGGAAGCGCGAAAGCTTCAGACCGTGCTTGGAACCACAGTGGCTCTGCTCCCCTCTCAGGCAGAGGCCATCGCCAAGACGGCCGGGCGCTGGCCTCGTCCCTCATGCCCGGCTGTCCTCACTCACACATTCAGCAGTCTCTGGAGCACCTGCTCTAGGTCGGGCACAACTATGGCTGTCACAGTGAACAGGATGCCGGATGGCTCCTGCCGCCCAGAGCTTACACTGGAGCAGCAAGAAGCGGAAAGCAGGCAGGACACACAGGCACTGGGGACAGCACCCCAAATGTGCCCTTCCTCCTGGCATAGCCCTGTGATCCAGGGGAGCTGCCAGGTAGACCCAGTTCTCCTCGGCCTTTCACCCCTGGACAGGGTCCTGCAGCACTGGCTCCACCTTGGAAGTTCCCTCGGGGACAAGGAATGTCATTGTGCGCTCCAGCCACACGGGGGCACCATTCCACAGAGCGAGGGGAGTTGAGGTGCCTGGGACCAGGGAGGCCCCCAGCGCCAGATGCCCAGGGTCCTGCTCAGCCCAAGTTTGGTGGGACCACCTTGCCTGGGCTTTGGTCCGCCAACAATGCCACCCCATGGACTTTGGTTACTGAAACAAATGGACATGGGGACAACTTAGCTGTGCCAGGGACTCTGGCTTCATTTCAGAGCAATGGGGGGCATGGAGGTGTTCAGGGGGGAGAAACTATTCAATCTGCACTTTGGGAAAATAAATTCTGCATACTGTGGCGGATGTGACAGGCAGCGAGCGAGGCTGACCAGGATGGACAGAAGCCAGAGAAGGCCTGGAGCCTGGGCATGCGTGTTCTCTCTCTCTCTCTCTCTCTCTCTCTCTCTCTCACACACACACACACACACACACACCCCTCCTGCAGCTGGAGAGCTCAGGGTTGTCTGACACACGTGGGGCAGATTGAAACCTCTCACAAAAATGCCCTCCAGTTGGGTGCGGTGGCACATGCCTCTCAACCCAGCGGCTCAGGAGCCTGAGGCAGGTGGACCGCAAGTTCAAAGCCAGCCCCAGCAACCTGTGGGCCCTAAGCAACTCAGCGAGACCAAGTCTCAAAATAAAAAATTAAAAGGGCTGGAGACGTGACTCAGTGGTTACTCACCCTGGGTTCAATCCCAGTACCGCCCCACCCCCCAAAAAAAGCCCTCCCGCTGTGGCTGTCCTGCCCCTGCCCGGCTGGCCCGGCCCACTCACCGAGGCGGTAGTGTTGATGAAGTAGTTTTTCAGGTCCGAGGACTCAGAAACGATGGTGGCGTGTGCCTGCAGGACAGCAGCGCTCATGTACAGGATGCCCGTGGTCCCGTGGTACAGGCTGTCCTGGGAACGCAGAGCAGAGGCCACCGCCACCGTCATTTGGGCAGGCACCTTCCTCTCTTGTGACACAGCAGGGAAGAGTGAGGAAAGGGGTGAGGTCCCCCCCCCCCAACTCCTGCTGCTTCTCTGCAGAGTTTCTAATAAGATATTTTTGTAGCAAATAATGGTGGAGCAGTGACAGCAGTGCAGGTCCCAGGCCCGCGGGCGCTCGCCCAGGGCCTGCTCGGCACCGGGAGTGTTTCTCGCCAACATTGCCAACCACCAGGGAGGCTCGCCTGCACTCAGTGCTGGTCTCATTTTGAGGAGATGGAAGCTCAAGGTTAAGGCCAGGTCTGAACAGAGGCTGATTAACTCCCGGCTTTGAACCACTGGCACTGTGCTGGGCACAGAGGGATCACTGCCACCTGTCAAAGCCGTCCATGCCAACTTCCAGCCTACAGTCAACTCAGTGAAGAGAGCAGAAAGTCAGATCACACCCGGAGAACCACACACACAGATCCAAAATAGGGTCCCCTGTGGAGGACAGTGGACCTCCTCTCTCCTAGAGGTCACGGGCAGGGCCAGATTTAGTCAGTCTAGATCCAAAAACACCCAAGAAACTTAACAACTAAAGCACACAAGGCCCCTTGTGAGGATCCAGCTCAAACAAGCCAAATGCAAAAAGACATTCCAGAAATAACTGGGAGATCTGAAGGTGACCTTGGTCTTAATACACCGAGTTGTTGTTGACTTGGTGTGTGAAAGCTGGTGAGAAAGTCTGTGTATGTTTTGGGGATCCAGACATGTGTGGAATAGCATGACAGTTAGGCTGAAAGTGCAAGTGGGAACACAGCCAGCATGGTGAAATCTTGGTAATTCTGGAATCTGGGCTGTGAGGGTCCCAGTGTAATTCTCTGTTCTTTTGTCTATGTTTTCAACTGCTCCACACAGAGCACTTCCAAATAGTTAACACGATAATGTGACAACGTGAAAAATCAACGATGCTGTATCAAATGCAAGCATCACACATGCTCAGTGTGATTCGAATGCATGTCCATTTTGCACAAATCCATGTGGCACATGAAAGGATGAGCTGATCAGTAAGTGTGACAAGCTATTTTTTTCCCCCTACTAGCACTTTATTCAACACTGCTGCCATGATTTATTTTACCATGAGTCAAATTGAGGAAAAATACATCGGAATATTGCTTCTGTTTTGTGGATTTGTTTATAAAGAGGCAGAGCCTCTCTCTGCTGCCCAAGCTGGCCTGAAGCCCTGGACTCAAGCCATCCTCTGAGTAGCCTGACGGAGGCTGCACGGCTGCACCCAGCTCCCAGATAGTCTTAATTCCAGGAGGTGCAGACATTGCTAGCAGGGAAGGTGGCGGAGGGAAGACAGGAAAGCACCAGCCTTAGCTCAATAAGGGTCCAGCCCAGGCAGGGCCTCTGATCCCAGCTCTCTGGTTCTCCCTCCCCAGCCAGAAGGGCCCGTTGTGCCCACAGCTCCCAGGACACCAGTCCAGGGCACCAACCCTGATCCTTACCAGCACTCTCCAGGACTCAAATTTTTTGTAAAATCCAAACAAGTAAGACAGCAGGAACATCAGGGTGATGAGAAAGGAGGTCAGGGAGACGTACATCACCCATCCTTGAAGCAGCGGGTTGGCTACGTGGGTGGCCGCTACCAGGATCCAGACCCAGCACCCAAATGCCTGTAAGAGAAAAGTGCGATGTGAGGGACGTCGCACCGTGTGGGGTGACATGTGCCTTCAGAGGGCATCTCTTTTCTCCTGTCTCTGGTCAAAAGCTCCATTGAAGCTGGAAGGACCCAGGAGGGAACAGGGAGGAAAGGTGGCCTTTCTGAGCCATGGTCAAGTTGGATCCTGTTAAAAAATTCAAGGGGCTGACCCAGAGGTTGCAAAAGGAGGGGCTTCCCACCAAGTCCGGCTGTACCTTTTGAGCTCAAGCAGTGTTGGCATGTTCAGTTTTTAAATATTCTGAATAAGTCGCCAATATTTAAACAATATTTTTCACATGAAAAAAAAATCTAGATTTTGGATATTTCTTGAGAAATACATGGTTTTGGCCACAGCATACCCATTTCTCAGGCTAGAATATGTTGTGATTGTCTCTTTAAAAAGGTCCTGAAGTCCCTAGTGGACCACATCCCCCTCCCCACCAACCCCATGCCGTCTTCTAGACTCGCCCTGTTGCTCACCTACATGGTGGCGTAGCCCTCTCCTTCCACGGCTCCTGCCCCCCACTGAATGCCTGCCTGACCCTGGGGGCACATGATTTGAAGCCCTAGGTCATAGCAGCTGATGCCCTGGGGCCCACCCCCAGTTGGGTGATAGGGTTCCAGTTTGATGGCCTCTGCGCTCTGCCCCGAGATTTGATGTGTCTTTGGTAGATTTGGTGCCTTTACCTCTCCCTGTCCTTTCTGGGCTCAGCTAGGATGGCCCCTGTGTTGGTAGCCAGGGCAGGAACTCAGTGTCCAGCTAGAGGCTTGGGGGAGAAGGTCAACCAGACACGAGGTTCCCTTGCCCTTTGTCTCCTGCTTTCTCAGCCCTTCCCCTTCCCCTGCTTAGGATGTCACTGCAGCCTCCTCTGGTGTCCTGATCTTGGTCCTGTTTAATCTGTACTTTTAAACACCACACTGGCTGGTGATATCATCTCACCTCTGCCCACTTCTCCCTGTGGCCTTCAGCCCCATGCCTGCACCTGCCCATCAGATGTCTCTATGTGGAAGTCCCTCTGCAGGGCTGACTCTGCACTTGCCTGCTCTTGAGAATGTCCATTAAAGTTTGCACCCTGTACCTTGCTTGCCCTACCCCAAGCCTGGACCTGCCCCTCAAACTCCTCACATCCAACAGGTACAAAGTCTGAACTAATGCCACTCCCAAATTCCTTCAGAACCCACTTAGCATGACTCATCTGGGAGAGAGAATAACAGGATTTAGCCTGAAGGAACGGAGGTTCCTGGAGAAAATGGCTATTTATTACAGCTCATCGTGGGCACACAGCACTTATCTTTAATAAAGCAATAAAATGTTTTTGAAAAAGAATAAGAGCCTGTCAACTGTGAGATCACTGGAAATGCGTGATGATGGCAGAAAGGAAGGGAAGGGACTCAAAGGTGACTCTCGAATACGTGGTTTGGAGGAATCACATGACCAGATTTTAAAACTTTCTGTAAAGCTGCAATAATCTGAAGAGTTGTGAATGCATGTGATTCTCAGGAGAATTTCTCAGGAGACAGCTCATCTCCTTCCCTAGTTCTGTTCCCGAGTTCACATAAATTTTAGAATCAGCTTTTTAGTATCTGTAATATGTCTTTGATGAGATTTTTAATGTTAAATCCATAGATGAGTTTGCAGAGAACTGACATCTTTACTGTCTCGTCTTCCAATCCATGAACATGGTATGTCTCTCCAATTATGAATATATTCTTTGACTTCTTTTATAATGTTTTGCAGCTTTTAGCATACAGTTGCTACACATTTTGTTATTATTTATGCCTAATTATTTTATTGGGGGGGGGCTCTTGTAAGTACTTTTACTTTTTAAAATTATTCGACTAGAGAGAAATACAATTGATTTTTAGCACAATGACATTATTTCCTGCAACTTGCTAAGCTTATTTATTAGTTCAAAGATGGTTTTTGTTGTTGCAGTTTGTCAGATTTCTTGGAGCTTTTAATGTGTCTCTTTAGGTTTTAATGTTAATGATTATCAGTGAGGTAGAGTGTATGTTTATGTATTTGTTGGCCCTTTATATTTCCTCTTCTGAAAAATTTTAATTGATTCTATTGGTCATAATTTTTTTTAACCTTACAGGAACTCTTCCCAGTAATGTAGGTATTATTGATTATTATACATGTTTCAGATAAAATTTGCTAGCACGTATCTCATATATTTTATGATGACTTTTGGTGAACTAATCCCTTCATTTCAATGCAATTGAATATGTCAATCTTTTCCTTTATAGATCATGCTCTGCCACAAGTTTCAGAAATTCCTCCCTACTCTGGGTCATGGAGATATTCTTGCATCTCAACCTTTTCTCCTAGGATCATTTTCTTTCTTCCTCAAGTACATGTTAGTGGTCTCTTTAGTGAAGGTAACTTGTTAATCTTCAGTTTGATTAGTTGTAAAATAGCCTTAATTTTCCCCTGAAAATTATCTCCTCTCTTATGTCCACCATGTTCTACACTTTCCCATATAATTCTATTGTTTTCTGGCTTCCATTGTTGTGGTCAAGAGGTCAGCTCAGGCGACCTGTTGCTGTTTGTAGGTATCTGTCGTTGACATCTGGCCACTTTGGGGGTCTTCTCTCTGGCTGGTGTTCTGCTGTTCATGCACTAGTGATGCAGTGTGTGGAGATAGGAATATCTTTGTACTACTCCTGCTTGATATTAATTTTACATTCACTATACAAACATTTAATCACCTTGTCCTTGGTAGCTGGATTCTGCAGTCTGTGGCTTCCACTGATTTTTATTACTCTACTCTTGTCTGCCCCTATATTTAGTGAATTCTGATTGGCGGTTCATGTCTGTGGCAGTCACTCAGTTCTGAATAATACTCTTAGAGAAGTTCTGGGCAAACAATTTCACTCATTTTGTCTAGCTCAACAGAAAGACACACATTTCAGGCTCTGCTTTTCATAACACCCCTGGCTTTCTGGACTAGCAGTTCTTAACTTACAACTAGCCAAAGGATAGCTCCAGATATGTCACCCTGTCCTCCCCCTGCCATTGTCTTAGCAGGAAAGACACTTTTGCAATTATAGAGAATTTATAGGCTTTAAGGAGAGAACAGGAAGGGGAAGTAAGAAGTCAGTATAGAATAAGAAGTGGACACGGGCAGGGATCTCTATGCAAGGAGTACACGTACAGCTCTAATAGGGCTGGGAAACAGCTCCAGAATCCTGGCCATCCCTTAAAATGCCCGTTCTCTGGGCAAATTCCCCCAGGCCCTAATAGTCAATCTCCAGATGAATTTTGGAAAATGGGAGCAGGGCTTGGGGCTGCCTGTGGCTGGGTGGGCTGACCCCCCTCCTTAGCAGGGGGGTCTTGAGGGATGGGAGCTCTGTTCTTGAGATCCCCTGAACGGGGCTCTCCCACGTTGCTCCCTGTGACAGGTGCTGCTGATGCTGGTACTGCAGGGAGGTGCCAGGAGTCAGCTTTAGGCCACCTGCCAAGTGTGGTGCAAGAATGTGGCTCCCATGGCCAACACCCAGCCATGGTGGCAATTAGAGGGAATGCCACCTAGGACTTGTAGGACCAGTGGCTGCACCAGGACTTGTAGGATTTTAGACTCACATGGGACCAGCAGAGAAAGGTTGGTATCATTCACAGATGTCTACCTGGTGCCCAGCACAGGGCCCGCAGAGTCATGGGGTGAGGGGTGCTGACGTGTCCCCCTTGGCATGAGTCTGTAGTAACTTCAAGACCACCTCTCAGTCCCCAGGCACTTCACAGGTGATGAAATGCCTGCCCACTCTGGCCACACCGCCAACTCTAATTCCCTTAGAGAGACCACAGACCCCTTCCACTGCTGACCACCAACTCACCTGTGCCAGGCTTGGGAGTCGGCCAGGATGGCTCAGTCCCTCTGTCCCTGTCAGGGCCTGAGAAGGAGTCCCTGACCCTCTCAAGCCATCAGAGGCTGCCTTGGCCAGCCTAATCCTCACCCGTTTGTGAGGAGGAGAGGGAAGGGGTGTGTGCAGAAGCTGGATATGGGGGAGGACACTTGTGTCCCCAAGCCAGATTCCACACCTCAAGGACAGGGCCTAGACATTCCTAGGATGTGCCCCAGGTTGGCCTACTGGGAGAATTAAAGGCCTAGGTGGGAATCTCCCACCCGCAGCACCAGAGGGCCCACCCTGGACTCCCCACTCTGGGTCCCTGCTGTGTTTTGGGGATCCCAGGTCCCACCTTTTACTCTTACCCAAGCCAAAGCCCCCCAAACATTTGAAAACCCACTCAAAATGTGTGGGAATCTTTTGAAGTGGCTCTGCTGTTGTGTAATCAGTGGAATCAGAGAAATGCTATTGCTTTTCATTTCCACGCCCCTCTACCTTCTAAACTGTGGCCTGGACCAGGGCCAGGGAGCGACTCCAGGTGAATTAAACCCAGTGGAATTTGTTGGCTCATTTCTGCTTCAAGTCCCGTAGGTCGGATCTTTATAGGTTGAGAACTCGGAATATTTGTTTATACTTTTTTTTTTTAAAGAAACTCATATTTAACTTTTCAAATCTTCCTGGAAGCCTCAATGGCCCTTCCATTTAAGTCTTCATTGTGTATTTCCCAAGAGCAGGAGATTTTTTTCGGTGGTTGGGGCTGGCCCTCGAAGTGGAGGACTATTTCACCACAGTTAGACATCCGTCTACGACACTTGTGTTTCAAGTTCAGCCTTGGCTGGGGCTTTTTCTTATAAAGCTCACTTGTGTGTTCACTTGCTGAAAGTCTAACTCGAGGTCTGAAAGGATCATTGGGGTAGGAGGGAGCGCAGTCACAGATCTGATCACTTATTCATGGGGAACATCTCCCTCCTGTTTAGAAATCTGGTTAAAGAATACAAGATTTGGGTTAATGACATCCAGCCGGGAGAAGGGGCTGGTTGCAGATCTGGGTGGGGGCTGAGCCTGGCCACTTATCACACAGTAAGACCCCACAGGCTCCTGGGGTCAGATCAGAAGGACCCAGCA